TACTTTTCTTGAAATGCACACAACCATTTCACCAGATTCGTCTATATTCCCGTGGCGAACTACTTTTCCTTTGGTATTTTCACTTTTACGGCGTCCCCTTGGTAGCCGAGGTAAGGCTGTTCATTGCTGCGGCATCTTTGTTGAAAGGACGTTAATGGATTGGGTGCAATGGTCTATTGGCAGCTGCTGCCTCCTTTTAAACTGAAAGCCTTTGTTATGCTTGGAAATGCATTGATAGGTTTCATGTGCGCAATGGATTCGATTTGACTAGCTATAATTCGGATTAGCAATAGGTGGTTGTCAATCTTTGGGCGAAATTAAGAACTCTGTGTCTATTTGATCAACTCTGTTGTTTAGATTCTTCAAGGACATGTACACACATTTGAGAAGAATCTGTTGCGCTGCGCTTGGTCGCCAGATGGGCAGTACGTAACGTGTGGTAGTGGTGATCGCTACGTCCATGTATGGGATGTAAAGACGCGCAACCTCATCTACAAGCTGCCTGGGCATTCAGCCTCGGTAAATGAAACTGGTTTCCATCCCCTTGAGCCCATTCTCCTCTCTGGTGGAGGGGATAAGAAAATTTTTCTTGGTGAAATAGAATTGTGAATAATAATACAATCGTGTTTTGTGTCATTTTGGACATAACTGTTGTTCTTACGTATGGTAAATATGTGCAAGTTTGTTTTCCTGATAATAGCAACTTTGAGTTTGTAAAGAAATCCTAACAAAGCCCTCTTCTGAGCGTCGTAGATTGGTACATCTCAGTGCGGCCGCCAACTATTTCCAGCGGTGTCGCGGGGAGAGGGCGTAGCTCTACTGACTTTAGTTGTCTGCAATCTCACTCGGTGCTTTAGTCAAGCAGGCAGAACAAATTGGCTTGAGGAATCGATTTCACTTAGTCGCAGATCGCATTGGGATGAAACTATGACTGTAATACTTTATTTGTCACCAACTTTAAGGCTTATGGTTATCTTGGCATCCGTCTTTCCCTAGTATGCTCATGATTGGCTTCGGGCCAATCCAAGATGCAATCTCTTCTTTCCCTCCTCTTATAGTGCATGCATTCAGCCCAACTTAATGCCTTCTTCTGCCTAATGGGAAGTATCTGGAAAATATCCTGATGGTAGCAGAAAAGGAATTCGACTTTACAACGGCCTTTACCATTGTAATATTTCGTTTATGTGACCACCACGTGGGCTAGCCTTTGGGCCATGCCCAGGCCCATTTGCCCTGTCGTCTTTGGAATACATGCATCCAGCTGCACCTACTGACTTCTTATACCGACTAGGAAGTCATGTGTCGGTAGTGCGAAGGAAACGTCTATACTTCGTGCGGGAAATTTTTTGTATTATCACTTCACAAAGGTTGAGTGAGCCACCTGGCGTAGTTTCCAGTCAGAGCTCACCTTACCACACCCTCGCATAAGCATCACAGATGACACTGCAACCAGACCCTTCCCACATGAGGCTGTGTTTAATACCCTTTTTCCCGCTAAGCACCTGTTTCAGACCAGTGTTCCAACGTCTACGTCTGAACATGGTTGGTAGCCAACAGGACTTCCTCTCTACGACTCTTGTCCTCACAACAAAAGCAACCGCAGATCCGGTTGAAGCTGCTGAGTGGATCAAGCACACTCCCTCAGCATTAAGGTGGCGCGGCTGACTCGTGGTTGCTGCCTTGTGCCACCGGATATGTTGTGGTGGCTGGTGTGGGCGGTGTAGCGGAGAGAGTACAGACGAAGTCGCCCAAAATTCGGAAGGAGCAGTGTTATACTTTGGCTATATGATCACCTGTTGTCTGGCGTTTACTTTGGCAGTCATCTTGATTGCGCGCACGTAGGATCGCCTTCTGGCCAAACCAGAACCCTATTTGTTCTTTCCCTCCCAGAATACATATATCCAACTCATTTCTTCACCTCTGTTATGCATTGTTTATGCGACTACCTGACGTTTGGCGGTAACTTGAGGATTTGTCTGGCCCTTGTGCAGGTGGGCTGGCGTTCGGGCCATATCCAGGCCCATTTACCTTGTCGTCTTGGAAATATATGTATTTAACCTCACTTATGCCTTCTACCCTATAGGAAGCCTCGGGAAGTGACAACCTTCTTTCTCTGTTTGCTTATTTTGGGGACGCTACAATTACATTGGCTTGCTTCGTTTTTTCTTGCTTTTATTTGTAATATCCACCATAGAAACCTCATAAGGTTCCTATGATAAGAAATGTATATGCTGGTGACTATCTTTGGATAAAAACATTTATTTTTTGAATGCATGTGATTATGGTTGAAAATTGAAAACGTTTTGACTTGACCAAAAGTTTAGAACAGAAGTGTAACTATCAGACGTATACCAACATAACCACTAGACATCAGTCTGTCACGAAAATGAAGATTTGCAAGAAACTTTATACTGTCTCATATTATTAGTGGTGTCTTTACCTGAGGCCTTTAATGCAGATGAATGCATCATAATATCCTAACACATGTGGGTTAAGCGTAGGGGAAGGGTCAGGCGTAAACCTCTGTCCATGTGACCACCTGACGTTTGCGATAACTACGATATTTCTGGCCCTTGTATTCTTGGGCTAGCCTTCGGACCATGCTCGGCCAAGTCACTTTGCCTTCTTTAAATGACCTTATCCAGCTTCATTTATCGCCTTCTCCCACTCGTTGCGAAGTTTTGGGGCGCCAAAACAAGGTCATGGAAAGGAATTCGACCTTAGCTCGTCCAGAAATGTAGCCCATGTGTACAAGAACAAAATTAATGCCAAAATAAACGCGATATATACTAGTTTGTACATATGGACTTTCATAGTAAAGAGGCGGGAACCAATTGGTAACGTAAATTACATGCGCGAAGACGGTGAGGAGTCCCTCTCCAGCTGATATCGCCTAGTTGGTTCATCTACATCCCAATCCCCATTCTTCCTGTAAAAAATGCCAAATAAATCATCTGCAACCAATCCTCTCTTGAAGTCTGAGGTACAGGGACCAGAAGTTAGGCAGGCAGCTCTTACAATATACACAAAATTTAAAGTTGTTTCCTAACTTAAGCATGCTATTTTGGCACACT